ATGGATCAGCCAGGTGGCATCATTGATGGCGTCAAGTGTGGCAGCGGTAGTGAGGTTGGCCCAGGATCGGACATTGTTTCGTTCTGTGCATAGGGTCGCTATGAGTCGGTTCCGACTCGATGGCACCTGACAACAACAACAGTAATAATAAAGGTCACATTTTGGCTCTTGTTGTTGTTGTTAAATGCTGTTGAGTCAGTTTCGACCATAGTGACCCTGTATTGGGTTTCCAAGGAGCAGCTCTTGTGGTGTTGTATTAGTATTCTTCAGCTTGAACTTGCATATGAGCAATTGATGGTCTCTCCCACAGTTGGCCCTGACCTTTTTTGCCTGATGATATTGTTTTTCTCTGTCATCTCTTCTCACAGATGTAGTTAATATGATTTCTGTGTATTCCATCCTCTGAGGTCCATGAATTCAAAAAAAGGTAATCGCATTGAATAAATCATTGGTTCATCATTCATAAGTCATTATAGGATCTCCAGCATTGTTTCTATCACTAAAACAATAATTTCCTACTACTGATTTCTTTTTTTTCAGCTTTCATATTTCAATCACAAGTAATTATCAATGTATCTTGATTGCAAGTTTGGTCATTTTCAGATTGAAGAAGTTTGTAGAATTCTTCAGTTGTATCATCACTAACTGGTGTGGTGCTCCTTGTAAACCCTACACCCTGTGAGTTGGAATCAACTGGACTTCACGGCAACTACAACAAAGCTTTAGTGTTTGTTACATAAATTGAATAAAGACCAGTGGTATTAACTGGGCTTTCTTATAGCCGTAGGGATATTATATATGGATCTTGAAATGTTCTTTTTCACGAAGAATGTGAACCCTTTCCTCTATAATTTATTGTTCTAAGCATAGTGAACTTTATGATAATCTGATTCAAAATGTACAATAGCAGTGTATTTTAGCTCAGTAATGCCTACAATATTGATGTTTATACATTCCATGTTATTTTTGACAGCTTTAAAATTTCTTGGGTTAATAGTTCGTATATTCTACGTTGATATTATTAATAGTTATTTGCAGCTGCTTCTTCCCAATTTGAGTTGTGTCCCATGAGAACATTAAGGTTCCTAAAGCTTTACTCCATGTCGTTAAGGTAAACTCCACTTCTATGAGGTAGCTCTTCCCTGACATAATTTGTGAGTGCCTTCCAACCTGAGGGTCTCATCATCCAACACTGTCTATCTGGCAGCGTTCTGCTATTGATGAGGTTTTTAGTGGCTAACCATTCAGAAATGATCCACTCCGCCGTCTTTGTCTGTCTTAGACTGGAAGCTCAACTGAAACCTATCCACCATGAGTGACCTTACTGGTGTTTAAAATACCAGTGGCATTTTACAGCAGCAAATAAGTCATCACAGTATGACAAACTGACAGATAACTGGTGAGGTGGTGTCTTTAGTTATGGGGCTGCTGCTGGTGGTGGTGGTTATGTGCCGTGGAGTCAGAACCTACCCATAGCGACCCTGTACAGGGTTTCCGAGGTTGTAAATCTTTACAGGAGCAGAAAGCCTCATCTTTTTCCCACGGAGCAGCTGGTAGTTTCGAACTGCTGACCTTAAAGTTCGTAGCCCAATTTGTAACCATTATGCTATCAGAGCTGCTTTGTGGGGTTGTTAGAATTTGCTAAAAATTTGAATTAGAGATGTTGAATATACATCATCAGTGTTCGTGATATCTTATTATGTAGTCTTCTTGTTAGGTGCAATCAAGTTGGTACCAACTCATAGCGACCGTGTATGCACAATGGAACGAAACACACCCTGGCCCTGTGACAACCTCACAATTGTTGCTATGTTTGAGCCTATTGCTGCTGCTTCGGTGCCAGTCCATCTCCTGAGGGTCTCCCTCTTTTTCTCTGACCCTCTACTTTACCAAACATACTATCCTTCTCCAGGAACCAGTACCTCCTGATACTATGTCCGAAGTATGAGAGACAAAGTCTGGTCATCCTGGCTTCCAAGGAGCACTCTGGTTGTGCTTCATCTGACACGGATGAATTTGTTCTTTTGGTAGTCTGTGGTACTTTTCAATATTCTCAAACACCACCACTCAAATGCATGAAATCTATGGTCTGTTGTATTCACTGTCCAACTTTCACATGTTTATGAGATTTTTTGAAAATACCATGGTTTGAATCAGGCATACCTTAGTGCTCAAACTGACATCTTTGCTCTTCAACACTTTAAAGAGATATTGTGCAGCAGATTTGCCTAATGCAGTGCATCATTAAATTTCTTGACTGTTGCTACCACGAGTGTTGATGTAACATTTTAATTGTTTTTTCTTTTCAGTATTTATCAGATAAGTGCTGGACTGCTAGCCACAAGGTCATCGTTTCAAACCACTAGCCACTCCTCAGAAACCCTGTACAGGGTATCTATGAGTCAGAACTGACTTGACAACATGTAACAACAACACTATGGTTTTGAGATTAATTACCCTTGTTTCTTTCCTCCAAGGTGCTTAGACTGCATTGTGATATATACTAAATTTGTTAACTCTGTAAGACAGTAATTTCTTCATAGTTTTGTTCTTAGAGCATTATGTGTATTAACGAAGATTATACATTTAATACTTGTATTTAATTTTTAAAAATTCATACAAGAATGTGTGTATGTATGTGTGTATTTCATTCCTTCCTTCCAACATCGTTTTTCCCTCTCTTAATCTAACTAGTATTGACAATTTTTTGTTCCTTCATAAGTATTTTTATGTATTATCTACACATACAGATATATAGATATTTTAATAAATTATTTGAATATGTTGTTGTTAAGTGCCATCGAGTTGGTTCCTACTCACAGCGATCCTATATGGGGTTTCCAAAGGGCAGCTGGTAGGTTTGAACTGTTGACCTTGTGGTTCGCAGTCTAGTGCTGATCCTGTAGTTCCACACCAGAAGTCTATTTGACATATAGCATTATGTTATATATTTCTGTCCCTTGTTGATTTAAATTTAGAAAATTTCTTGCTTAATCCTTTGCCATGGATTCTTGATATTCTGTAATATGGATGTGCCATAATTTTTTCATCCTACTAATGAACATTTAGACTGGGTTCATTTTAAATTTGTTATACTGCTTTAGTAGACAGGGAGGGGAAAATAAATATTCCTCATATGTAGAATCTGTCAAAACTAACATGTATGGAGATTTGGCATGCATTCTTTTATTGCCATTAAATAGTCTGATAGTATATTTTACTTGCGATCCAGTTTTAACTTTTAATTGTGCTTGCAACTAGAACTGTCCATTGAAATTCTGATATATTTTTTGTAAATTAGTTTTGTTGTTGTTATGTGCCATGGAGTTGGTTCCGACTCATAGCAAATCCTGTACAGGGTTTCCGTGGCTATAAATCTCTACAGGACCATGGGACAGCTGGTAATTTCAAACTGTTGACCTTGAGATTAGCAGTCCAATTCGTAACCACTATGCTACCAGAGCTCCTTTTAGGACTTAAAAAATTATAGGTAATTTTTTGGTGTGGTGCGATCTTAGAGTGTGTTATACTAAGTTTTGTTTCTAATTTCAGGGATTAGGAGCAGACAGCAAGAACCTGTACCCTTTCCTGCTTCCAGTTATTCAACTGAGCACAGATGTTTCTCAACCTCCACATGTTTATCTTTTGGAAGATGGTTTAGAATTATGGTAAGAAGAAAACTTGATTTTCTCTGATCCTCCCTATTCTTATGCTAGAAGTAAAGGTCATGCAACAAGGGTTTAGAAACACTGCATTTTAAACAAGATATAAAGTTAATGTCCCCAAATTGAGTAACAAGACTCCTTGCCAGCTGTCACCCAACATACACTTACAACAGACAAGGGGAAATCTTAGTCGGAACTCAACTGCATTTCATCTTTTGGAATTTGACATGTAAAATGGTAATTATGATAAATTCTCCAAACTAATTGACTCAGAATTCCCAATCTGTTAAATGAGATGCTTTGGTGGATGTTGGTTATTTCTTAAGATCTTGACTATTTTACTTTAATTAGTGTTGAGATAGCATGCTCCCGTGAAGGTCTTAACTTGCTATTTTACGTTCTGCTCCCGTAAAGATTTAAAGCCTCAGAAATCCTGTATAGGTCACTTTGAGTTGGTCGCTATGGTGGTGGTTGTTGTTAAGTACCGTCGTGTGGATTCTGACTCATAGTGACCCTGTATAGGGTTTCCTGGGAGTGGCTAATGAGCTTGAACCACCATTGTTGCAATTCAAACCAACCTTGCAGTCCAGCACATTGACCTACAGCACCAATATGTGGTGGTTGTTGTTGTTGTTAAGTGCCATCGAGTCGGTCCGACCCATAGCGACCCTGTACAGGGTTTCCAAGGGTGTAAATCTTTACGGGAGTAGAAAGCTTCATCTTTCTCCCGCGGAGCGGCTGGTAGTTTTGAACCGCTGACCTTAAGATTTGCAGCCCGATTCGTAACCACTACGCTACCAGAGCTCCTATATATGGTGGTAAGAGGTATAAAAGTCTGTTTCTGTATTGGCTGGTCAGTGCAGTAAACCTTTGCTGAATGCCTACTATGTTTAAGTAATTGTGCCATAAAGTCCTTTTGTTTATTTTACTGACACCAGCAAGCTTCTTGTGGGATAAACTTTTTCAATTTTTCACAATCCATGAAAAGCTAAAAATTCCAAGATTCTAGTATTTATATTGGTGTTATAAAGCAAACCACAGAGTTAAACCATGGGGGAGAATTAACATTTGTGGCTGTTTTTCCTACCATGATTGTTTCCTTCCCTCCTATTCTTTATTTTCCTATTCTTCTCTTCTTTCCTGTCTTACTCCTTAGATGTCTAGGAATGAACATCTTTGATTCTGAGTAATTGTCTTTGGTGTAATTATAAATTAATGATCTATATCAGAATACTGGAGTACGTGGGTGGCACAGATTGTTATATACTGGACTACTAACTGAGTGATAGGCAAAGGTGCCTCAGAAGTAGTTGTCATTAGGTACTGTTGAGTTGGTTCTGACTCATAGCAATCCTGTTTAGGGTTTCCGAGGAGTGACTTTTGAGTTTGGACCACCTTGGAAGTATGATATAGTAATTTTCTTCCTAAAAGTCACAATCTTGAAAACCCTTGCGAGTGCAGTATTCTACTCTGTACACTTGGGGTCATCATGAGTCAAAACTGATTTGATGTTCTCATGTGGTGCTGTAAGACTGCTTCCTACAAGGTTGGCAGTTCAAAGCCAACAGCCTCTCCTCAGAAACTCTATAAGGCTTGCTATGAGTCAGAACTAGTTAGGCGGCACTTAACATCAACAATAATAGCATCAGAATATTAGCTAATGGTTTTGCAACATAACCCAACTTTGAAATAAAGAGGGCATTGCTATGTTTCAGAAAAAGTTTTTTTGCAAAAACAGTTTGTTGACTCTATTTGAACCACAGCTTGTATTTTGACAACCACTGCTCCAGATTTCAACTCATAAGGCCCCTTATAGGACAGAGTTGAAGCTCTTCATGGGGTTTCCAAGGCTGTTCTGTTCATCACTACGGAAACAGACTACTACATTTATTTCGTGTGGAGAGATTGGTGGGTATGAACTGCCTATCTTTCAGTTAGTTATCAGCCAAGTGCTTAACCATTATGCTACCAGGCTTCTTAAGAAATGTTGCTGATGTTAAGTGCCACTGATTCAGTTCTGACTCATAGCTACAGACTTAATCGATTAATGTGTTTTTGAAAGGTCTATACATTTTAAAAAGACAACTTACACATGTAATAATAACATTGCATTTCTCTATTTTGGTAATTTATTTTTTCTTAACTCTGTATATGCTCTAAGGAGCTTTGGTAGCATAGTGGTTTTGAATCGGGCTGCTAACCTACCAGTGGTTCCGCAGGAGAAAGATGAGGCTTTGTGCTCCCGTAAAGATTTACAGCCTCGGAAACCCTACGCAGGGTCGCTGTGAGTTGGAACCAACTCCACGGCACACAATAATAACAACATATATGCTCTTGTACTATAGTGGATTACCAGCTGTGCTGCTAACTGCAAGGTCAGTAGTTTGAATCTACCAGTTGCTGTGCAGGAGAAAGACGAGGCTTCTGCTCCCGTAAAGATTTGTAGCCCTGGAAACACTACACAGGGTCACTATGAGTTGGAACTGACTGACTCGATTGCACACAACCATATATGTATATATATCATTTATATGTATTCAACTTTGTGTTTATAAATTATATATAAATTAATACTTTTATGTAATATATAAATAGTTTATTAAAATGTTCCAAATTTGTTTACATAAATTTCTTCATGAGTTTTTCTTAATAGGCTTAAGCTTTTACTTGAAATCATACAGATAAAAGTGTCAATCCCAATTCTATTGATATATTAGCATTGTAATGAATGATTTAATTATCTATGAGCCTGGTTTTATCTATGAAGTGCAGAAATTATCATAACTACTTCTCATGGTGGTTGTGAGAATGAAATGTTCCTAACATGTTCAGCACTTTGTCTGTATATGGCTTGTATGACATTTTCAGGTCTGGAAATGGATGCGATTGCGTTGGATGGGAAGGGCAGATAGATACCATTTTGCCCAAGGCAGAATTTTGATGAATGTGGAACATTTTGAGGTCATAAGAAGAGCCTCACAGAAGACAGAGAAGGAATGTCTTTGGATACTGGAGGAAAGTCAAGCTGGGAGAGTAGGGCAGATCATCAGTTTTACATTCAACAAATCATACACGTTGTTTCATTATAATGATTATAACCCCCTCAACGCATGTACCATCAGTTAATAGTATTTCTCTCTATTCACTTTAGCTCTTTTTTTTTTTAAACATGCAGGCATATGTCACCAGCTCTTAGTCCTCTCTTTCCATGAATCTAGAGTCCTCAGCTGCTCCCTCTTTCCATGTCTCCATCTCTGCCTCCATCTCTGGTATCGCTGCTTCTCTGGATAAGGTCTCGCATTCTGCTTGTGCTCTTCTCCCTTGATGGCCCTAGGGTCCTTTGTTTATGAACTGTAAGATTAAATACTCCCCTGTTTTTGTTAAAAACCTTCTACCTTTACAATTGTGACAGTCGCAATCAGTCATGATAACAATTACTCACTGTTGAATCATAAGAATCTTATCCCCATCTCTTTTAAACAGACTCATCTGGACAAGATGAAAACTATTCAGTGGTGACTCTTTCTTCCCCATACACAACATTAAACCTAAACTTCATCTTGAAACCTTGTAAGCCAGTCAGTTTGTGCCTTTATCACCCCCTCATTTTAGCCAATGTCTAAGTTGCCCGTCCCTATCTACCCTGCATACAGAGGGGATAACATTGATATTTGAGGTGAAGACTCCTTCCTTCTCTATTGGCATTTAGAGTTACTACATGCATGAGTACAGGTCAAGTTCATCAAACTTTAGCAATTTACCCATGTTTCCTTTATCAAAAATGGTTTTGTTCTTTTTCTTTCTTTTTTTTTTTTTAATTTTCCTGTAGTCGAGTTCTGATTATCAAGCCATCGAGGCTAGGTCAAATGGGGAGAATGTATCTTAAAAGAAGAACTGGCTAGCTTTGTCACATGCTGCTGATTTGACCTAGTAAGATTACTATAGATAAGTGAATTTGACCACATGGAGACTGTAGGAGTTTCAGTGGTATGGTAAGAATAGAAGTAGAATTGGAGTAAACTGAAGAGTGAATTGTAGATAAGTAGTGACTGTAATTGTAGATAAGTAGGACTCCTCGAGTGGTGTTGTAGGATCAGCACTGGACTACAAAACATAAGACCTATCAGGTGCTCCTTGGAAACCCCATATAGGGTTGTTATGAGCTGGAATCAACTCGACAGCACTAACAACAACTAGTGACTGTAAACACTGATGATTTGTTAGAGAACTTTGTCTGTGAAAACTATATAGAAACGAAGCAGCAGCTGCTGGTGTGGGAATAGGAGGTCAAGTGGATGATTATATAGAGAAAGTGGTGGTATAGCTGAAGGAGTCAATAAGCGATCAGAGCTCAAGTGTGGAGGGGTTGATATTTGTTGCCAACAGGGACACATTATAACTGGAGGCAGGCAAGTGGAGCTCTGTATTTTGTAATGGCTTCTATTTTCTTCATAAAATAGGAAGCACTGTCATTAGTTGACACTTTGGGCCTGGTGTGTACACATAGGATCTGAGAGGTTTATGAAGAGAGAAAGTATAAAATAGTTATTTTGTAGCAGCATTTGAATTTACTGGGGATAATGCATACCAGCTGGTTTGGGTCATGAATGTAAAATAGAAACCCCTCCTATAGGTCATGTGATTTGTGTTTTTCACTGCTCTTGAGCCTTCTCACTAGTAGTTCATCCATTTTACTTAGTCTTCAGAGAACCAACCTTTGGCTTCAATTCCCTTTGTATGTTTGTTGCTATTTATTTATTGTGTACTCTTACATTTATTATTGCCTAGTTCTGCTTGTTTAGGTTTATTTTTTGTCCTTTGACAGACATACTATAGAATTAACTGGTTAATTTTCAGTCCCTCTTTCCTAAAGTTTGATGGCTTCAAAAAGTAAATGGAAAAATATTTCCACAAACTCTTTGAAGCTACTTTATATAAACATACAGTATTATGTTACTGTTAATTTAAACAGTACTTGAACAAAAGTCCTCAGATGAACAATT